GGTGGGTGCCTATATTTATTCTAGGTTCAGAATGTATTACGTACAGGATTTTTTCATATCTGTCTCCACATATATTCTACATGTATTTTCTGAAGGAAATGAGCAGGGCTTGCAGAAGAGACTGCAGCCTTTTCCAGCTGTGGCCTGAAGGCAGAAGAGTTTCATAACAAATGGGAAGCCACACAGCACTCTTAGGTGCCATTAGGCTTCAGAAATCACTGACAAGGTTTTTAGGTCACATAATGAGTTCTGGATGTAGGTAGAAATTAGACCCCTGGATTCTCTTGAAAGTGCTTAAATCTTTATTTAAATTTAGTCCCAAGTTCTTCCTGTGAGGCACTCTGAGGCCCTTTCAGTTCCCAGACATGCACCAAGGATGATGGAAATGGGGGAGCTTTTAGGGACTGACACATTCTAAGCGCTCATACTTAACTGGAGTATGTGAAGAGGTACCAAACACAGAGGGAGAGAGAACTGATCCTTGTAGCAGGATCAACAAAAAGGCCCACTTTGGTATCATTTGCATACAAATTATAAATCCTCATCAATTTAATTGAAGTCTGGAATACTCATGAATTGCTGGCTAAAATACAGACTGGAAAAGTTCCCCAAAAGTTTTTCATTACTTGTGTGGGTGTGGGGAAAGTGTTATAATTCATCAACTGTATCTGAGTAGTTATGTTACTTTATCACTTTCTAAGCCAAAGAGCTATTTTTAAATTGAATTTAAAACTGCTACCCATGCAGTTATCCAGTGGATACTCTCCAAAACAGGATTTCTGTAGCTGTCTTGGGTCAGAAGAACATGATGAATCAGCATGCAAACACCACCAGTTTAAATTCAATTAATTCCCTTTATATGTTCATTCACCCACTAAGATGTGGATTGCATCCGTCCCTCATAATTCACTCCCAGTGTTTGCACCCTTAAATATAAAAGAATCTAAATATGGTATAATTTAGTTAATTCAGAACCAGAAAAGTGGAGCCTTAGAAGAAAAAACAAACAAACAAACACACTAATAAGAAATGCTTAAAGGAGGCTACTATTCCCTGGGGCACAATTACCCTGCCAAAGTGTCTCGGTAACTTCCACCTTTCTCCAGAGCTACCCCTCATGTCATGGATGGCAAGTACAGTGAAGGTAATATCGATTATCTGGGTAGCAACCTGTCTTGCCTGTTTAATCTTTATGAAATTTGAAAAGGCAGAAATACTCTTGTCTCTCCATCACATCCGTTTTAGTTCTGACAGACCTGCCTGTAAGCAGATAGCCTTCTTCCAAAGCAGGGGCTTAAATAAGATATACCTCAAAAATAACATTATTATCTCAGGTCACTCTGATAAAGATCTGTGAAAGTTTTCATGTTGTGAAATAAAAGAAAAGATATAATCTGAAGAAAAGCTTAATAGTCCAAATCTTGGTACCGTTAAGGACATTATCTCACAATCTCTACAAATTTAGTTCTTTGTGCATAATAAAATTATTTTTTCAGACTATCTTCTTTCTTGTGCACCCTGTACAAAGTTAGAGAACCCCATAATAGCATGCTAACATCTACTTTGCAGTCTTAACATTTATAAAACTTGGAGTAGAAGCAACTTCAAAAGTATAAGCAGTGCTTGATGTGTCTGATTAGGAAAAATTGATGGGTTTTTTTTCAACAGAATGAAACCAGCCCATTTGTAGACTCCATGCTAATCTGCATCTTTCAGAGCTTTTCAGCTGAAAAATGCATCGCCACTAAGGGCTGTGCAGTAAAATATCTGCGTGCAATAGGCCTTCCAGCTGCTGGCATTTCAGGGCTCTCAGTGGCAGGAGCTGAGTAGCACATATTTGTGCAAGGGAAACAGATCAAAAAGCCTCTTCAATCTACTCATTTTATCCTGTTTGGAAGGGCCTCAAAGCCTCTTTTTTACCAGCTGTATTTGTTTGTCTAATAAAAGATATTACCTCTCCCTACAAACCTTGCCTAGCAGTTTGTAACAAACTCTTAATTTTTTTTTTTTTTTAAAAAGAGATTAATTCAATAGTAACATTCTTTCAGCTATTTACCTTCAACCGATTCTCATATCTGCTTCAGGAAGAACCTAGAGGTTTAAAAATGAAAAATTTAAAATATCCAACTTATTTGCTGTCTCTGCACTGCCTGCGACAGCCTCCGCTCTCCCTTCAGGAAAGACTTTACTGGATCACAACAAAGGCTTTCTAAACTGTCCTGAAGACCCAGGTGGCAGTGCAATTCACAATTATTCTTCAAAAATGTTCCTTTTTGCCTTATCTTAACCCTTCTCCCTAAACAAATGTCTCCTGTGTGACCCCAGGTCACCTAAGTGTGGTACAGGGCTTAAGCATATCTAAATGGCACCAAGGATAGCGGCCAAGTTGAAAGATGGTGAATTTCATTCTCTCCTTCCCTTCTTCTGGATTTCCTGGTTCATCTTGTATTTGCATTCTTTGCACTGAGATAATAAGGACTGTATTGTTGGAGATCTTCTCCACCTGACACACATGCAAGTGTTTCCATTGAACCCATGGAAAAATGTCCTTGTGAAAATGGTCTGACCCTCTAATGCACTACATGCACTGTGATTTGCAAGCTCCTGTACCACACACAATACTTTATCTGAGGTACTAATTTTTTCAGAGATAAATCTCCCTCACTGATCATTCAAGGCTTTTCTATCTATGTAAGTGTAAGAACAACTGCCAGTAAGATAGCACCATTAAAATCAATGCTACAGTGGCAACATTTCATCATTACCATTTAATTTTCATCATTTCTTCCTGGTTTGCGTATTTTGTACATATTAACTATTCAAAGATTAGCTAACATCCCAAGGTAATTTTTGGCCTGACTGAACAGTGTTAAAACAGTGTAAGATTATTTAATTTTAAATAGGATTACAAATCATAGAGATTTCTTAATTCTTTATTGTCAGATGGTAGAGACATTTTGCTAATGAATTGCTGGCTTGCGTCCTTTTATTTATATAACCTATCTTAACTATATAATGGATTTGGGTGACAGAGGTGAAAGCATCATCATTCACAGAACGTTGATTTCAAGTAGGGAGTAGACAACAGTATAATGAATTATGAAGAGATCATATTCAATAAAGATTCAGTGATAGAAGTAGGAATGCAGAGATAAGAGAATAGTTCTGGTTTAACCCAGCACTTGTTAATGAAGATCAGTCACTCATAATAGGTTATATTCTGTTCTAAATACATAGCTGTATCTTTTGTTGTCACTTTGAAGGGAGAGGGGAGTGGAGGGAGAATGAAAAGAAGACAGCATGAGATGCAATCATCACTGTGACCAGTTCAGTCAAAGACCCTGTTCAGCATACAGCAGGGACCTCAAATGTTAAGCTAAGAAATGAAAAAGAGTAAAACTAAATTACTTCAGTGTTACAGTACAAAACCAGTCACACATCCTGACTTGGGTAAGAAAGCATTGGGTAAGAAAACATAATTATATGTTAACCTGTCTTCAAAAGTTTATTAGAAATAGACGTGGAGAGCTCAGAGATGGACATAAAGAACAATCAAAGAATGGAAATACTTTAGGTGGAGAGAGTGGAAAAATGCAATCACCTATCTTAAAATAGGTAGGATAGGAAAACCAAGAATAACACTGGGAAGGTAGATAAGCCTATTCATATTTTCTTATAATACCGGAATGAAGTTAAAAGCAAATTTCAAGGCAACAAAACCAAAAAACACCCCACCCTTTGACACTCAGTGAAAGTCTGTATGTGGATTTCATTGCTACAAGAAGCTCTGCAGCATTCAGGTAACTGCTAGCCATTCTAGAAGTCACAAAATAAAGAGCATTGGATCAGGGGATTCATATATAAAAAAAGAAGTTTTGAAATTAATATAAACCATGACGTTCCTCAGCATGAAGCAACCTCCAGTTATTGTGGGAAACCCTTTTGAAAGCCTGTTTCTTTGCAGACACCTAATGTAGAGTTCTTTCCAAAAACCTTCTGAAGTAGACAGTCAAGGCTACTGTTACCGGATATTTGACTTAATAAACTACTTCTACAGTCTAGTTAGGAAGTTTTTCAATTAATATTAATTGTATTAAGTTGTAATGAAAACGGTCTCCCTCTGGATAATAAAGTTCTTGGCAAGGGATTTAGGCTGTGGAAGAGGAAAGTTACAGGCTGTAACTTACTTTAGAATGGGACCTGCATGGAATAAAGGAATCTGTTAGCCTTCCTCTGCAGAGGAGAGCATAGACGTGAGCAAATGTGAGAACTTAGTTATGGCCTTAACATCAAAAATCCATGCCTGAGATCCTCTTCTGCAGTCTGCATACACCTCCTTAATGCTCCAGTGCCTGCACCTCTTGGAAGAGGCTAAATTCAATAAGCATAGCTTGTTTTTTAAGAGGGCAGTAGAATTTTTTAAAAGCAAATTCTGGAAAGTAATTTTACCTTCAGACAAAACGTTATTTGTCCAAAATGGTTCTGTTAGTTGAAATGGAGCTCTTCTGGGATTGTCCTAGAATAATGATAAAACCCTAATAAGATGTAATTCCTGCGCTTTCTCTGATCTGGTAAAACTCCACTGAACTCGGTGAGGTTATGCTGTCACCAGCTTCGGAAGCATCAGCTCAAATCTAGCTGTGGTAGAAAGCAGTTTAAAGACCTATGTTGCAAATTTTAAAGCCTCTGCGAATATCCCATGACTTGTGCAGAGCCACAGTCTGACGCCGGCTTTGTTCCGACCCTGGACTCTGTTAGGACAGCAGTTTCCCCGGGGACAACTCGGGACCTGGGCTGGGGGGCGGGAGGCAGCGCGCACGGCTCCGGCGGGCTCCTTCGAACAGGAGAGGCTGCTGCGAGGCTCGCCTTCCTCTCCCTCCCTGCTTTTAGCACGTCTGCAGCTCATTTCCGAGGGACCCGGAGGAGGCAAGAGACCGGCTCACGGCGGGTCCCCGCGCCGGCGGCCCCCCTCAGTCCCCCCCGGGCGCGGGGCATCTCACCTGTCGATGCTGATCACGCAGAGAGTCATGATGGAGGCCGTACAGCACATGACATCCATGGCGATGAAGACGTTGCAGAAGAGGCGCCCGAAGATCCACTCGCCGCCGATGAGGTCGGTCACGCTGACGAAGGGCATGACGGCCAGGGCCACCGAGAGGTCGGCCAGGGCCAGCGAGACGATGAGATAGTTGGAGGGCTGCCGCAGCTTCTTCACGAAGCAGACGGAGATGACCACCAGGCAGTTGCCGGCGATGGTCAGCAGGGTGATGAGGGAGAGGACGGCCCCGATGACAACTTTCTCCACGTTGCCGTAGCTGAGGATCTGCTCCCCATCTGCCTTCCCCATGCAAAACTTGATTTAGCCTGGGCTGCCCTCCATTATGATCCGGTCGGAGAACGTATTTATCACTCCTGCCTGCAAGAATCCTGTGAAGCCCCTGCAGAGAGAGATCGGAAACCTTCTTTCTTTGTGGAAGGCAACCCTTTAATTAATTAATACCATGGTGATATTCCAGGCCTGAGTTTGCAGGAGGAAGTCAACCCACTGGCACACAGCACCTCCTCTCTCCTCGCTGCCCGAGGTCCCCCCAGCACAGGGGAGGCCGGGGGACCCAGGTGGTCCTGGAGAGGAAGCGGGGAGTTCCCTTCCCCGTGATGGGCTTCAGGAGCCGCCAGAGACCCAGCTGCCTGGGCAGAAAGTGGGCAGCGCCTGGGCAGGGGGTTTGCAGTGTTTTGCCCAGCCCTGCCTGGGTGAGCCCCGGCCGCCGGCATCGCTGGCACATGGCGGAATTGGGCTGGGAATAACCCAGCAGAGCGGAGGGATGAGCCACCCGGGTCCCTCCTGCCCTGCCACATCCTAGGGAGTGTCACGTGCCGGAGGTCCCCCTGCGTGATGGAGAAGGGCAGTGAGCCAAGGTGGC